TGACCAGTTCGAAATCGCAGGTAAGGAAGTGGCCTTGTTGGGAAAGATTTCACAACCACTTCTCCAGCGCGGGGGCCGAAGGAGGCAGCTTGATGAGGGGGCTGCCGCTGCCGTTTCGGGAAAGAGTTAAAACAGCCATGGCGAGCACGAGGCAGATGAGTCACCAGCACCCCCACCTAACACAGTTCCCCAGGCCGCCATTGCCAACTGACCCAACGTACCACGTGCCCCTCCATTTACTGAGCTACAGAGACAGCAGTGAGCAAGATAGCTTCCCCTCCGAGGACACCAAAAACTAATAACACCTGTCAAAACAAGCTAGAGTAGGGGGATCAGCAAATTAAAGGTCCGAGCCCAAATGTGGCCCATCAGCTGAGCATCTGCCGACTGAGAATAGTATCTACACACTTCAAACGGCTGAAGAGAAGGTAAAAGAAATATGATGTTACATGTGAAAATGATATGAAATTCACATTTCAGCATCTGTCGTCTATAAATAAAGTTTTATTGGGTTGCAGCCACACCCCTTGGTCGACACGCTGTCTGTGGCCTGTTTCCGGCAGAGAGGACTGTTTGCAGAGTGGATGCCCTTGAATACAGCGTCAGGTCAAAGCTGTGGGCTGAGAGCTTGCAGGAACCCCAGAAAGGAGGGCGGAGGGGCTTGTACCCCCTTGACCGGGGCTTCCGAGCCAGGCCGTTCTCTGGGCCACTGTCAGCCCAGCCAATGCCCACTCCTCCCGGCTGGGTGACCCTGAGCTGGTGGCCTGCCCTCTCTGAGACTTCACTTCCTCGTCTCTCAAATGGCGTTGTGCTCGGTGAGAGGAATGAGTGTGGGGATGTGAGAGACGTGTCTGGGGCAACAGCTGGTGCCTGAGGTTTCCGGGCAGGGTCTTCATGCCCGTGTGGGGGAGAGCATTTCAGGGGCTGAGGCCCTTTATCTGTTTTGCCTTCAGGGGCTTTTCCAACAGCAAACTGGCAGGCAGGGTCTGTGGGAAGGGAACTTGGTGGGAGGGCAAGGTCGTCACGAGTCACCAGGAAAGTGCCCATCAGAACCAGAGCGAGGCCGAGTGAGGCCCGGGAGGGGCCAGAGGGGAAAGCAGCAAAAGCAGAACAGAGCAAGTGTCCGTGTGGAAAGTGGGAGCCCTCGTGCTCGGCTGGGGGAGCGGAGACCTGGCGGCTGCTGTGCAAAACCATGGGCAGCTCCTCGGCTAAAGAGTCGCTGTCTGACCTGGCGAGCGAGTCCCCGTCGGGTCTACACCCAAGAGAAGTGGGGCCGGGTCTCATACGGGTACTTGCACCCCCACATCCCCCCACTGCCATCCACAGTGGCCCAGCAGTGGACACGCCCCGTGTCCGTGTGTCCGTCCACACCATAGAATGTGATCCGGCCTCGGGAAGGAGGGACGTCCCACCACCTCTGGTGGACGGACCCGGAGGACACTGTGCGCAGTGACAAAGGCCCGACACAGAAGGACACATCCTGCATGACCCCACTCACAGGGGGTCCCTAGAAGGGTCCCGTCCACAGAGACATAGAGTAGATGGCGGGAGCAGGGGGTGGGGTGGGGGGCGGGGAGTTAGTGCTTCATGGAGACAGGGTCTCAGTCTGGGGAGATGGAAGGTTCTAGAGACGGTGATGCAGGCGGTTACACAACAGTGCGTGTGCTTGACGCCACTGAGCTGAGCTCTTGGAAGTGGTTAAAGATGGTGAATTTTTATGTTCTGCACATTTTATAACAAAATAAGGTAGGGTTCCCCCCTTTCCTTTTAAGCCCCCCAGGGCAAGGTGAGTAGCCTCCATCAGCCTCATGGCTGTCCTAGAGGGCTTCCTGGAAGAGGAGGCAGTGCTCCATCTCAGGTCCTCCAGAACAGATTGGGGAGGGGAGAGCAGCTTCCTCAGACACAGCCAGAGCCAAGTTGGGGTCACGCAGGGCACAGCTAGTGTCTACACTGCATCGGGCTCCTTGCCCTGCTCCTTGTCGGCTCCGTGACCCCGAGCCAGTGACCAATGTTCAGTCTGCCAGATGGTCCATAGCAGTAGGCCATGGTCCGGATGGGAGACTGAGTCAGGCAAGTGGGTAGGGGAGTTGCCGCCGTGAGGCTTGGCGTCAGGGTGATGGGGAGCCATGGCGGGTTCTTGAGCAGGGGAGGGGCAGGTAGGCCTGAATCTGAGCAGCCAGGGGAACGCCCTTCTGAAGCTGCCGGCCATGTCTCCCCTCCCCAGGCAGTGTGTCGAGGACCGACAGCCCCACCAAGATCATCAAGCTGGACACTGTGCGCGTGATCGCGGAGAAGGTAAGCAGGGCCCTGCTCTGCGTCCCATTTCAAGGGTCGGGAAGCCAAGGCCCAGGCCTCCAACTTGTTCTCGCCCCACCCAGGCTGCCCCTCCTGGAGGCGCTGTGATGTGGCGGCTTGAGAGGGACAGACGCGGCGGGGGGGCCCTGGGCCGTCACAGCCCCTGCCCGCCGCGAGGCCGGGGCCCACCTTGACCTCGACCCTCCGTCTCCATCTCTGATCTTCTGACCTTTCACCTGCCTTCTGGCTTGTCTGCTGCTGTCTCTGTGTGTTTCTCTCTCTGCCGCACCCCCCCCACCCCCCCGCGGGCTGGGCCCAGAACAAGCACGCGCTCCTGGACGTGACGCCCTCGGCAGTGGACCGCCTCAACTACGTGCAGTATTACCCCATCGTGGTCTTCTGCGCCCCAGAGAGCCGCACGGCGCTCAAGGCCCTGCGCCAGTGGCTGGCGCCCGCCTCCCGCCGCAGCACCCGCCGCCTCTACGCGCAGGCCCAGAAGCTGCGCAAGCACAATGAGCACCTGTTCACGGGTAGGCGGCGGCCCGGGAGGCGGCGGGTCCTGGCCGTGGGTGTGCGGCCGCGCTGACGCCCCCTCCCCACAGCCACCATCCCCCTGCATGGCACGAGCGATTCCTGGTACCAGGAGCTCAAGGCCATCATCCGCGAGCAGCAGACCCGGCCCGTCTGGACGGCCGAGGACCAGGTACCTGGGGCAGGGGTTGGGGCTTGTCCACAGTCAAGGTTTGACCGGAGGGGAGGGTGTGGAGCGGCCCTGGGCGTGAGGCTGAAGGCCGGTGTCCTGGGTCGGGGGTTTGGTCTGAGATTCGGGGGGGTGGGGGGGGTGGGGAGGGGAAGGGGGAGGGGACCTGGGCTGGGGTCTTGGCTCAGCCGCCCCCCTCCACCCCCCAGCTGGACGACTCCTCGGAGGACAACCTGGAGCTCCCCCACCGTGGCCTGGCGGACAGCTCTGCGGACCTGAGCTGTGACAGCCGGGTCAACAGTGACTACGAGACAGACGGGGAGGGCTACACCGACGGCTACACGGACGGCGAGGGCGGGCCCCACACGGATGGGGACGAGGGTCCCGCGGCGCCAGCTCTGGCCCGGTCCTCGGAGCCTGTGCTGGCGGATGAGCCCCAGAGCCCGGGGGAACGTGGGAGAGCCTCGGGTCCCCAAGGAGCCCAGGCAAGCAGGACTTGGGCCGGGGCGGGGGGGGGGACACAGGGGAGCCCGTCTCCCACCAGGATGCCAATGAACAGAAGCTTCTCTGACTAGAACAGTATCTAAGACCCGGACCTAGGGTATTTGAGCCACCAAACAGCTTGAAACAAACGTCATCACCTCTGTATTTCCTTATCTGGGACATGATGAAATAGATCCCATCTTGACCTCACAAGGTGGTTGTTTAAACTCAATACACTTAGTCCACGTCCCAGCCCATACTAGGTGGGTGTTTAACAGCAAACATTACATAGCATTTGTTCTTAATCAAACTGCTCTTTACGAATTCGGCGAAGGCAATCTTCCTCCAGACTCCCTCTAGTTAAATATAAAAACGTACAAATCTATGAGGTCTCTAGTTGGAATTGTGCAGTACCCTGCCTGCTCAACTGTCCATGGCAGCGTGCTTATGGGGCAGGCACGATCCTGAGCACTTTCCATACACAAGCTTGTTCATGAACTCCTAACCACAGCCCTCTGAGGAATTCTGCAGCTGGGACACCCCATTCCCCCTTTGCTGACAGGGTAGGGGATCTCAGCCAAGGCCTTTCTCTGTCCCACCCCATTTCTCACTAAAAACTAGAGAGGAGTTGCAGACCTTTGGGGGGCAAGGAGGAAGTGGGGGCCAGTGTGGGAGGCCAGGATGGGGGTCCCCTTCATCCCACTTTGTCTTACTTTGGGGAAGTGCTGACCTCCTTTGTCCCCCTCCAAGGTGGATAGCCATCCCCGCCACGGTCAATGGCGACAGGACAGCATGCGGTAAGAGCCCCCTGTCCTCCAGACGGGGCCCCTCAGCCCTTCTCCTGGAACTCAGGCTCTGGGGGTAAAGAGACCAAGAACCAAGCTATGCCTTCATGGTGCCCCCAGCCCAGCAGGCGAAATGAAGGCAGATAGGGCCACTCCAACCCCATGTCATCAGGGCCAAAGAAATAGATGCCATCTTCCTACGGGTACCGACTGGGAAAGTCTCCTGAAGGACAGGACACGGGCTGGGGCTTTGAAGGATGTGTAGGAGTTTGTTAATGAGGCTCAGACTCCTAAACGCGCAGTCTCGCTCATCTCTGTCCACACCCACCATGCCCTACAGAGAGTCAGCCTCAGGTAAGGGTGGTTTGTGCCTCCCCCAACCCCCCACAGCCTCTATTCTATTTCCTGGTCCCCAGGACATATGGGCAAGAAGCTTTGAAGAAAAAGTTTACACGAGCTCGAGATGTGGAGTCCTCTGACGAAGACGGCTACGACTGGGGCCCGGCCACCGACCTGTGACCCCTCCCAGGTGGCCAGTGGCCCATATACCTTTTTCCTCCCTGGCGCTGGGACTTGGTTTCCCGTACAGAACCTGGAACCCCATGCCCTTTTGCCAGTCTTTAATAAATGGAGTATTTTCTCAGCACCAGCTTCCAGAGATTTCCAGGAAGGACACCGAGTTGAGAGTCGGTCGTTATCTGTCCTTTCTTGACCCCACAGACCTCCACCCGAGATTCTGCCCATTTGTTAAGCATTTAATCTTTTACATCAGAGAGTAACACGGAGCCAAGAAGCCTCCAGAAGCCCCGCAGGCGGAGTTCGAGGGCTGCTGGCGCCAAGGCACAGTGGCGGGCCGGTGGCCGGTCACAGGTACACCGGCTGCTCCTGACCTGTGAGCAGGCGGTAGGTGGCAGCTGGCATCGTTTTGATGTGGACCTGGGGGGAGGGGGGCGGAGAGGAGGTGGGCGGCTGGGGCGGACCTGAGCCAGCAGGAGGGCACCCCCCCACCCCCGACCCGTCCACTGCCTGCACACCTCAACGTGGGCCTCGGTGAGCAGCTCGATGATGCGGGCGTGTGGTGTGGCCACCACACTGTGCCCGTTGATCTCGATGATGCGGTGCCCCACGCGCACACCCCCACGCTCAGCGATGCCACCCCGGAGGAGGCTGCAGATCTGGAGTGGGGGGGCGTGCTGCTCAGGGGGCGGCACCAGGGGCTGCCGGTCCCCTCCCCGCTCCCCCCCCCAATCCTGGTCCCCGGGCCTCACAATGCCGTCCTCCACACAGAAGCCCAGCTGCTCACGGGCATGGGGCCGGCGGATGATGGCTGTGGTGACCGGCGGGCAGTGGATGATGCTCAGGGTCACGAGTGTCTGCGACTTCACCTCCTATGTAGGGATTGGGGGGGCGGAGGGGGCCTGAGCCAGGTCCCCAGGGCGAAGCTGGACCTTGCGGCGCACCACGGCCCCCTCTGGGCCTCAGTCGACCCACTCATCAAATGGGGCTTTGGAGTCAGGGCTCTGGATTCTAGAAGGCTCTTCGAGAAGCAGTTAGGAACACAGGCTTCAGCCAGGCGGCCCCAGGCCTGAGCTGTGCAACCTCTCACCCCCCTTCTCGAGGCCTGTTTCCTCATCAAGAGCAAGCTTCTAGCAGCGTCGGCCCTGCCCTCCCGACCTGGCCAAGTCCCTCCCCATGTCTGGGCCTCAGTTTCCCCATCTGGCAACATGGGTTCAGATTCAAGAAACACACTGCCGCCCCCTGGTGGAGGGGGAGGCCCCGGCCCTGCGGCTAGTGGGCGGTGCTCCACTCCTGCCTTCGCACCATCGAGGTGGCCCAGACAAGGACGTCCCCTCCTGAGACCTGGTTCCCCAGGAGCAGGGAGGACTTCCTGCTCCAGCCCCCGCTGCACTGGCCCCAGGAAGGCGCCTGCCGCCCTGGGAGGACTCACGCGGACGGCGGCCTGGCAGGCGGCCAGGGGCAGCCCCACCAGGCTGGTCCCGTTGATGGCGGTGAGGCGGTCCCCGATGCTGAGGGCCCCCGAGCGCTCGGCGGGGCCCCCGTGCAGCAGGTTGGCGATGACGGCCGTGGGCAGCAGGGAGCCCCAGCCCGACTCCACCAGGGCCACGCCCAGGCCCTCGCCCCGACGCTTCTCGATGCACACCTGGGGGGGAGACACACGGGGCAGGGCTGGGGGCGTGAGGGCGGCTCCGAGGGGGGCTGGCGGGGCCCCCGGGCCTGCACGCTCACCTCCCTGCAGTTCTCGCTGTTGGAGAAGTGGTCGAGGTCGCCGTTGTGGAGGTGGCCGGGGCCCACGGCCCCCGGGCTCTGCTGGGCGCCCAGCTGGTTGGGGTCGAGGCCGCTTTCTTCCAGGAACTGCCTGTGGGCCACGCCGAAGGCCTGGCCGATGGCCTGCGCGATGAGCTGGGCCTGGGTAGCGACGGGCAGCGTCTCCGGGGGGTGTCCCCCCCCCTTCAGGTCCCCAACCCCCTGAACGTCCTCAGGGCTGAGCCCTCCTGACCCCACCCCTGACAAGATGCGGGGGAGACAGCCCCATGCCCTGCAGCTTTGGGGACTGGAAACCAGCCGCTGTCTTGGGGAATCTACAGCAGGGGGAGACAGGCCTAGGGGGTGAAATTTGGGGGGCGGCCGCTCTGAGGCTTATGGGAAGGCCCAGAGGCTCGGGGGATGGGGGAGACCGCCGACAGCACCGCAGGGACAGCGTGAGCAGGGGGCTCTGGAAGAGGGCAGGGTCGGCCCCGGGTCACCCCCCCACCCCCACCCCGTCCCCGAGGGCGCCCGAGCCGGTGCTCACGTCCTCTGAGTGGAAGACGTGGCAGAGGATCTTGTAGAGCCTGGGGCTGTGAGCCTGGGGCGCCGGCCGCCGCGCCAGCCGCCGCCGGGTCAAGAGCACCAGCACGTTGCCTATGTCGGCGATGTAGGAGACGGTCTGCAGGGCGTGGTCCATCATGGCCTCCTGGGGGGGGGGGTGAGAGCAGGCCTGGGCGGGCTGTGCAGACCCTCAGGGGGTCCCACACCCCAGAGGCCAGCCCCGGCCCTGTACCTGGGAGTCAGCCGTCAGAACCTTGACCCTCTTGGTAGAGACAAAGAGGTCCACTTCCGTCATGGGCTGGGTCTCCCCGTCAGGGGCCTGTGGGGGTGGGTGGGAAGTGGAGGCCCACAGACACCCAGCCTCTGCCCCCGCCTCCCCCTTGCCAGGCTCCGGGGGCCTCAGAGGCCCTGGCCTGCAGCCCCCCCTGCCCCCACCCTGCCCCCCCGCTGGCCCTGGGGAACCCCGCCTGCCCAGCCCTGCTTTCACCTTGACACGGTCCATCGCCTCCCGGGCCTGGGCCATGCGTGTGCTGGGGGGCGGGTTCCGCTCGGACACCAGCTGGGTGGAGCCCAAGTATTTGGCCCCAAATATGACACCGTCTAGGAGGTCTTCATGGTCACAGGGACCAGGTACTAAAGGCGACAGTGGAGGAGGGTCAGCCCCTGAGAGCGCCCGGCCAGGCCCGGCAGGCTGCATCCCCCCGGGTCCCGGCGCCCTCAGGGGTCTGGAAGCACAGACTTCTACCCCACAGCCTAGCACTCTGGCCAAGAGGGTCCACCCACTGTTCCAGAACCATCCATCACCAGGAGCCACGGACAAGCAGCTTGGCCCTCACAGGTCTAGAGCCCTCTTGTCAGTCTAGAGCCAGCCGACTCTGTCCACGGCCAAGGGCTCCGGCCCTCTGAGGTCTAGAACCACGGCCGATCCAAATGAACTGCTCACGGATGCCTCTACCCTGTGTTTCTAGAAGTCTGTCATCAGACTAGAACCAGCCAGTCCTGTCTGTAAAACCAGCGACCTTAAAGGGCCAGTCAGCGCCGCTCAGTGGTCCTGGGACCCCCCTCACCCGTCTAGAGCTCCACCCACCGTTCCAGATGCCTCCCTCACCAGCCCAAGGCGACAGACGACGCTATTCCTCATAAGAACTGCTTAGTCGGAGCTGAAAAAGACTGCTTCTCACATTCCTAAGATTCACGCCATCCAGAACCGCAGCTGCACCTCCCCCCCCGCCCGCCGAGATTCCAGAACTCCTCGACAGGCCCCCGGCCACAGAATCCTGCAGGGCTTCTAGAAACACGCACCACTCCAGAACCATCTTTTCCCACTCTGTGATTCTGCAACTTCATTGTGACGACATGAGGTAGCGCTTCCTATGGTTCTAGAATGCCCTCGAATAGCTGGGACACTTCAGCTGCGCCCAGTGATTCTCAGACTTCTCGGAGCAGCCCAGAAAGGAGCGACTCCGTGGGAAGTTCTAGAATTCTTCCCAGCCCAGAGCCACACAGAACCCTGCCCTCACGGCTCTGTAATTCCCTGCGCAGCCTAGAACCAGGTGGCTCTGTCAATCCTGCAGTGTCCTAGCCAGGGGCTGTCGCTGTTTTGGTTTAGAGCGGCAGGTACTGGCCCCAGGGCCGGAGAACCCTAAGCTTTCTGGAACCACAGCCAGGTCTGAAGCTCAAGAACCACACCATCCAATCAAGATGCTAACGGCCAGGCCCGCATGGGTGTTGTGCCTCTGAAATAAACGTGCTGTGAGTGTAAAACGCGTACTGAATTTCGAACATTTACTATGAAAAAAACGTAAAACAACTGCAAGATACCGATTATACGTTGAAACGACCCTTTAAATGCATGGAGTTAATTAACATGTTATTAATTGGGGGGGGCCCTGAGGAGGGGGGGGCTCACTGGGTTGAGGGTCCGACTCTTGATCTCCGCTCAGGTCATGAGCTCACGGTTCGTGGGATTGAGGCCCACGTCGGGCTCTAAACTGACGGAGCGGAGCCTGCTTGGGATTCTCTCTCTCCCTCTCTTAAATAGATGTTTTTTTAAAAACTTAAAAAATAAACTATTACTAGTTTTACCTGTTTATTTTTTTTAAAGCAGATAACTAGGAAATCAAGTCACACGTGGCTCCTAATACGACTCTATTGTATAGCACGACTCTAGAACTTTCTGATCACTCTAGAATCAGACAGCCCTGTCCACGGTGCCAGAACACCCTTCCTTTGGTCTGGAACCAGAGATAAGCTGTTTTCCACCCATGATTAGGAAACTCCCGCAGTCTAGATAGCTTTGTGTGTTCCAGAACACTCTCACCAGCCTGGGTTTGTAATCCAGAACCACAGGCAAAATGCCACATTCTGGAACTCTCTGGGTGACTCATAGCTCCACCCATTGATTCCAGCACCTTCTTGGAACAATAGGTCCAAACCAGCTCCCCTTCCCACAACCATAAAACATGCTCTTTGACTTACAGCCTCAGTAGTTTAGGTGCAAATCCTAGAACATTCTAGATGCCCAGACTGGTTCTTTCCACGCCCACAGGGCAGAGGTTGACAAAGCTGCTTATGCAAGGGGACAGACAGTAAATACGTTTGTCTTTGTGGACTAGTCAACCCCTGGCCATTGTGACGTGAAAGCCACCATGGACAATCCGTAAATAAATGGGCATAGTTGTGTCTCAATAAAACTTTATTCGTGGATGCCGAAATCTGAGGTTGCGCATCGTTTTCATACATCAAGAAATATTCTATTTTTTTCCAACTGCTTAAAAATCTAAGAGTCGGGGCGCCCGGGTGGCTCAGTCGGTTAAGCATCCGACTTTTTGATTTTGGCTCAGGTCGTGATCTCACCGTTTGTGAGTTCAAGCCCCGCGCTCTGTGCTGACACGCGGAGCCTGCTTGGGCCTGTCCTTCTCTCTCTCCCCCTCCCCTGCTCGTGCTCACTCTCTCTCTCTCAAAATAAAGAAAAACATTAAAGAAAAAAAAATTTTTTTTTAACATAAGAGCCATCGTTAGCTCCCGAGACATGCCAGAACAGGCGGTGGGTCGGATCCGGGCGGAAGCCGGTAATTTGCCACCCCTGCTCTAGAACCCAGTGCTGCAAACGCCAAACCTGCCCTTCTGTCCCGTCCATTCTAGAACATTCTCCCTGCTCTCTCTCGCTGTCCCAGACTGTCTGGAATGTACTCGACCAACCTCAGAGCCTCGCTAGAAGCAACTCCCCACTGGCAAACTTGGTGCCGACTTGGGAGCCTGAGCTGAGCTATTCTGAAAGTGCCAAGGCCCTGGGGCCAGCATGGGCAGGACACTCACCCTCCTGGAGGGCAGGGTATGACCGCAGGGTCTTGGGGCTCTGGAAGAAGACAGAAGAGGGGCAGGGCTGAGTCCCCTGGCTTGGCTGCTGGCAGCAGAGGCGGCCCAGGAGGCGGGGCGGGCTCTACCTGGACGCTGGCAGATGGCTCTTCCGGAGTAACTAGAGGGACTGTCTCCAGCCAGGGTTCCGGGGAGCTACTGGAGCTCCGGCTGCCACCCTGCTCGGCAGAAGCTCCCTCCGGCCATTCAGGGGCGCCGGGCTCCTCGTCCGGGTCTTCTGGGGGCTGCAACAGGCGAGGCACGGGGTCTGGCGGCTCCTTCGGACGAGGCTGGGGGGGAGGACACTCCTGGTGGTGCAGAAGGCTCAGCAGGTCGTCCCGGCCGGCCTCGGCCGACAAGAGCCCGTGGGCATCAGCAACGTCCCGGGAGGTCAGGCCGTGGCCGGTGGCAACGTGCAGGGGGCAGGGAGGGCCGTCCGGGGCCAGGCTCGCCAGATCACCAGGCAGAGCCTCAAACTGGTGCACCAGTTCCTGGATACTCGGCCCGTCGAGGTCCATCTGATTCAGGCTGCCGGAGCCGCCCGGCACCGGGTCCCACGGGCAGCTGGGGGTGAGGTCCTGAGTGGGTGAAGGTGCGTCCCGGGGCTCCTCCAAGTCCATAGCTGGAGGGCCGGGGGGGGACTGGGGCGTCGTCAGGAATTCCATGCCTGGACCAGCATCTGGAAGACAGATGCAAAGATAACGATCTCCTGGGTGCCAACTGGGTGCCAGGCTCTAGGTGGGCGCCGTTCATGCAGGACACAATTTAAGAGGCACCAGACCCTGCAAGGAAGGGCCCCCTATGATCCCCATTGTATAGATGAGGAAACTGAAGCCCAGAATAGGCAGCTGTAAGACAGCGGCTTCACAGGCTCCAAGCCCCGGGTACCCCCGTGCCTGCCACCCCAGACCTCTCCCAGCCGAGGGCCCGGCCCACCCCAGCCTCGGTTCTTCCACATCTTCCCCCACCGCGACGTGTAACCCAGGTTAGAGGCACACCCTGACTCGACGCACGCGGTTGGTACAGGTCCCTGACACCTCGGCCTCCAGACCGCGGTGTAAGCCGAGATCCAAGACCGAGAAAGCGGAGCCTCGTCGCAAAACCTCCAATGTCAGGCTCCAGATCAACCCCAGACTCTGACCCGGACCTCAGAACCCAGCCCGAGGACGGCGCTCGAGCCTAAAGCTACAAGTTGAGACCCCAATCCTCTCGAGGACCCCAGACTCAACACTTCAGACTCCCTACCTCAGCTGCCGGCTCCAGACGTCGCTCTGCCCCGCCGGGCCACTCACTTCCCACACCGAGGTGGCCTCAGCCTGCACGGCCCCCAGGGCCCCACGCCCGGGGAGGACAGTCCCGCGGGGGCGCGGCGCCGGCAGGTCTGTTCGCGCAGCGCTCCCGGCCCACTGGGCCTGCGCGCGTTTGCAAGGCCTGCTGGGAAATGTAGTTTTCCCAGCCAGCTTTGCAACTCCGGAGCGCCGGGTGTCGGAACCAAGGGTTCGAGTCCAGGGCCTCTGTTTACACAGAGTGGGAGCCCGGACTGGCCTCTGGGCCCGTTTCCTCAATCACAAAACGGGGCTAGTGATCATTGCCTGCCATCTACGGCCGCGGGCATCATTCCAGCGGATGAGAAGAAATGGGATTGGAAAGTATTAGAGGGAGAGGCGGTCTCTTTCGACTCCAGGAACACCGGAAGCAGCGCCGAGACCCTATTGTACACGGACTTCCGGTTTCGCTCACCTTAGGGAAGCCGAACGGCGCGCCCTGGCGTAACTTTCCCTCCCTGAACTTCGCTTCCGCAATTATAAACTGGGAATAATAATAGCACCTACCTCCTACTTGTGAGGAGTAAACGAAATCGAGCTGGTTACAGATTTAGCAAAAGGAATGGAGGATAATGAGTCTATTCAGTATTAGCCAATTACTTGTAGTTTTTCAGTAATTGCTCATTGAATAGAGTCAGGAAGGCACAGAGTGTGACCTTAAAGTAAGTGATAAGTAACCGAATAAAGGCAATAAGCAAATGAAATATCTTTGGAAAGTCCCCTCACACAGTAACTGAGGATACCTGTGAAAGTTTAAAGAAGCCCCAGCGAATGCCTAAGCGTGGAGTACTACATTTCCCAGAAACCTCTAGGAGCCTACAACTCCCAAGCACCCCTTAGCCGCTGTCATCTCCCGGAAAAGTGCACGTGCGGGCAGCCGGCATACGTCATGGCGGCCAGGTGCCTCTTCGGGGCTACGCGGACCTGGGCCACCTGGGCGGCCCGAGACCTCCCGGTCCCTGTCGAGCCGGGGAGACTCCTTGTACGGGGTTATGCCAAGAGACCGGGTGAGCTGGGTTAAGTGGGACCCAGATGGGCATGGTTTGGGCCACTGGGAGTTAGTCGTGCGCAGGTGCTGCTTTGGGAGGTGGTGCCTGGACTCCCGGCGCAAGCGTAAAGAGGCAGACGCTGAGTTATTTGCGCAGGCGCGCCCTGAGGTCCCTAGGAAGTGATTTGGCTCACTGCGCAGGTGCGGGATGCTTTTGTTGTGGGGGTGCGGGGTGGAGTGTTATGAACTTGGGTCCCAGCTCTGTCTGTGCCCTCAACGTGACTGTGTGACCTTGGGCTACTCGTCACCGGAAATTCGAGGAAGCAGAGGGGCTCATCTAAGCATTAGCCATGCAGGCAAAGGCAAAATAAGCTGGATCTGATCTTCTTTCTTGGAAGGAGGGATCTGACAAAATGTTGGGCGTTTAAGGCACATACCAGCCCGTTCTCCGCGAAATAAACAGAAGGAATCAAAACAATTGGAGAGCAATGACCTGGTCACTCTGCGTGTCAGGGTTTATTGCAGTATCTGTGCTCCACACTTCAAGTCATTTTGGGTGCATGGGTGCCTGGTGGCTCGGTTGAGCGTTGGACTTAGGCTCAGGTCACGGTCTCATGGCCGGCTGCTAAGGATTCTCTCTCCCCTTCGCTCTGCCCCTCCCCTGCTCTCGCTCTCTATCTCAAAAATAAACATTAGGGCCGCCTGGGTGGCTCAGTCGGTTGAGTGAGTGTCTGACTTCGGCTCAAGTCATGATCTCACCCTCAGTGAGTTCGAGCCACATCAAGCTCTGCTGACAGCTCAGAGCCTGGAGCCCGCTTTGTATTCTGTCTCCCTTTCTCTCTCTGCCCCTCCCCGGCTCACACTCTGTTCTCTCTGTCTCTTGAAAATGAGTAAATGTTAAAGAAAATTTTAAAATAAATAAATAAATATTTAAAAAATCATTTTGGGTGCAGCAGACAAAAGTCTAGTCGGGGCCTGGGGCCCCCTGGAGAAAGAGAGGACAGTAGGGAAGGCTGGCCAACGAGGGCACAGCCGGACAGGAACGACTCTCTCCCACCCCCCAGTCATGAAGGGGGGCAAAGGTGGCAAAGGCGGTGCGGTCAGCGAGGCCCTGAAGGACCCAGACGTATGCACAGACCCTGTCCGACTCACCACACATGCCATGGGCGTCAACATCTACAAGGAGGGCCAGGACGTGGTCCTGAAGCCAGACGAGGAGTACCCTGAGTGGTGAGTGGGCCAGGCTGGAGACCCGGGAGACCAAGTGATGGGGTGAGGTTGGCCTAGCTGATCCCTTATGCTTTTCAGAGGGCTTCCCTGGGTAGCTGATGGGTGGCTCCAGACCTGAGTGGGTGGAAGGAGCTTTAAAGGCAGATGGAACAGCCAGTGCAAAGGCCCTGGGGCAGGAATAACAGGAAGTGAAGATGGAAAAGAGAGGAAGGTAAGGCAGGGAAGTGACGGATCCCGGCCCTTGCAGGGCCAGAGGGGATACGGAGCAGATTTTGCTCATGGCGCCAAGACCAGTAGCAAAACACTGAAGCCATTGACCTGTGCTAATCATCGCGCTGGGGGAGGTTGGGAAAGGTTGAGTGAGTGGGTGAGGAGGTGCCAAGGCGGACATACAGACAGCGGGCAGGAGGCAGGGAAAGACTTGGTGTGTGCCCACCTCACGGGCGCCTCCGGGATGGGGCAGCTTTTCCGGGGCCAGGAGCCGGGGGCCTCTGTAGGGGGCCCCATGTGCTGCTGCCTCTACCCGGGGTGCCTGGGGCAGGGGAGCTGGGGGGCTGTCTGCCGTGCAGCCCTGACCACTGCTCACACCCTATCAGGCTGTTCCAGATGAACACGGGCCCCCCCAAGAAGCTGGAGGAGCTGGACCCCGAGACCCGGGAGTACTGGCGGCTGCTGCGGAAACACAACATTTGGCGTCACAACCGATTGAGCAAGAACCGGAAGTTCTAGCGGGGACGGGCCCAGGCCACCCCGACCCGGCAGGGACCTCACCAGGCCCTGAAGGAGGATCCCGGAGGCACATGATTTTCCTGGAGAAAGCAGTTTCCTGAGAACAGAGGGGGTCCCCAGAGTGACGCCGGGCCCTGGGTGCCGCTGGGTGCCGTCCGCCGCTGGAGCCAGGAGGCAGGCAGGCAGGGGGCACCTCCGGCCTCGGGGTTCCGCGCCCTCAGCCTCCACCCTGGCAGGAGACATAACTTTCTTGGTTGTAAGCGACTCAACTCTGCTCCAGGCTACCTGAGACCTCCCGAAACCAAGGCGTCCGGGGTGGGCGCTGGCCTTGGGGACGTCAGTGTCTTCCATCTCTGGGTCCCCGTAGCCCCAGGGGCTAGTTCCCTTGGACAAGAGCAGCTCCAGGACTCCCGGCTGCAGCCCCCTACCCAGTTTAGCAAACCCAGCCAGAGGGGAGGGGCTTCCTTTCTTGCCCAAGTCACGTGTTATCCGCACTGGTCAGTCACTGGAAAGAGCCGGGGCCTGGGGCTCCCCACCACCCTCCTGTCCACCTGCCTGGCACCCGGGTCTCAGGCTCCCCCGCCCCTCCCTCCTCAGCCCCACCCCCCCAGGAAGTGCATCCTGGATTCTTGAACACCGTGAACCTGACCCCCAGACTGGGAACCCCAGCTCCCAGCAGCGCTAACCCCTGCCCTGCCTGGGGCCCCGGGGCGAGGCCAGGCCTTGCGGGGCGTGGAGAGGGGGTGGGGTGAGGGCCCCACGTGGGCGCTGGACCCGGGCCCTCCAGGCTCCTCTGCTTGTCTAGCTGGGTGGGCGGGGCTGGGGACTAACTCTGTCCCAGGAAGGCGGGAGGCCTCATCCTCTTAGGAAGACTGCCAAGCGGATTACTCGCCCTCCCTGGGGGCCCAGCCCAGAGCAGGCGGAGGGTCCCAACCCTCCCGGGGTCCCCTTGGCTCTCAGGGTAAAAACAAAGTTGTAGCAGCCACAAAGCCTTGCCAGGCCTGCCTCCTGGCCCCTCCCTGCGGGCGCCTCACTGCTCCAGCCACAGGGGCCTCCTGGTGGTTCCTCCCTCACACCTGCCCCAGGGCCTTTGGATGTGCTGTTCCCTCTGCCTGGGTGCCTCTTCCCCCCAGGTGTTCCCATGGCTCCCTCTTTCGTCTCCTACAGTTCCATGATGTCACCTCCCAGAGGCCCCCGACCACCCCGTTAAACCACAGTCCTGACTTGCACTCTAGGCTGCCTCTTCCGGTTTTGTTTCCTCCCAGCACTCACAGCCAGCTGGTGTTTTCCGTGTGTACGTATTTATTTAATTGTGCTTCTTGTCTGTCTCCCATCCGTTAGGGTAGGGGTTTTGTCTTGTTTTGCCCCCATTACATCCCCGTTGCTAGAGGATGGATGGATGATGGGTGGTGTTTGAATGGATGGATGATTATATTGATGGATGATGGATGGACGGACGGGTGGAGGGTTGGATTGATGGGGGATGATGGGTGGGGGGCTGGGCAGCAGGCCCGCTGCCACCATGTAAAGAAGACGGGGCCCAAGGGCTCATGTGACATGTCAGGCAGGACGGGGTGAGCAGGGCAGCTCGAACCCCAGTGGGTGTGAGGACCCGGAAGTGAACCTGTGGTTACTTCACGGACGGAGCTCAAAGGAGGGAGGGTGCTGGTCGCGTGTAACTCCTGCCTTCGAGCCCGTCCTCTCCCGTCACGTCCCCGGCTGCCCCGTCCCATGGGGAGGTCCCGTGTCATGCTGACGCCGGGTGGGCCTCAGGCCTGCTCACACCCTGTCCCTTGCCCTCGATGCCTCCTTGTTCTGGGAGGGGGTCCGTCACGCCCTGGGGGCACGTGGCTGGGTTGCATGGACAGATGTCACTGGGCCAGATGTGGCGGGTCTGTGGTCAGTGGGGACAGAAGCCACATTTTGATCCGTAATGGAGGAGTCCGTCCACGGGCTTCTGCCTGAGAACCCGCCCTTTGCACACGGCCCGGGTCCCCTTGCGTCCCACCCCAGTGTGGACTCAGCATGGCACCTGGGGTGACGTACTTGGGGGCAACAAGCTTGAAAACCAGCTCCACCCCCAGTGGCCGTGTGGCCTCAGGAAGCTGGCCTCCCTGGGCCTGTGTCCCCCCGTAGAGCAGCTGTCACGGGGGTAAAGCGATGGGCCCCGGAGGCACCCGGGGAAAGACACCAGGGACCGCGAGCTGCCACTGCTGTTCTGTGACGTCAGTGTCCAGGAGACTCCTCTGCTGCACAGGATGAGGAGCCGGCGGGGGGGCCTGGGCGCGCCGATGCCCGGGGCTGGTGACCGGGGCTGGTGACCGCAGCCTTACTGCCCCGAGCGGCACCGCCCACTTCAGCCCGGCCCGAGGACGGGAGGCCCAGGCCACCTCCTTCCTGAGACTGCCCGTCCCCCTGCAAGGCAGGGGTGGCCCCAGACGGGCCGAGGAGGGGGGGCCGGGCGGCCCCGACTCAGGCGGGAGGCCAGGCCCTGTCCTGAGCCTGCGCGTGCTCCTTGGCCAGCAGCCGCAGGGACGCCTCCTCCAGGGCGAAGCCCTCCGCTAAGGCGGGACTGAAGGCATGGGGCCCGAAGGACGCCTGCAGCCCCGGGCCTGGGCCCAGCAGGCGCGGGAGGCCTGGCAGGGCGGGGGGCCCAGGGCCCAGCCAGGGCTCCAGGGGCAGCGGCACAGCCGGCGGGCGGGCGAACGGCAGTGCTGGGGCCTCGGGGAGCCTCGGGGCTGCCACGGCCCCGGAGCCTGACTCCAGACGCTCCTGGCGGCGCCACTTGGCACGGCGGTTCTGGAACCACACCTGGAGGTGGCAGGAGGGGGGCCCCCGGTTCAGGGTCTTGGGGACGAGCCAGCCCGCCCCTCCCTGCGCCGGCGTCCTCCCTCGGGGCTCCGCGCTGGGGGGGGTTCTGTCTCGCCTCACTCTCACCTGCTGCCGCGCCAGCATACCCGCCTCGTGGGGATGCCCCCCCAGAGAAGGGTGCCCCACGCCCCCCATCATATCAACCTGGAGCCTTTTCTGAAACTCAGCCCCCCTCGCCACTCTGCCCAGCGTCCCCGCCTCCTCGGCCCCTCTCGGCCCCGGGCACTGAGTCCCAGCCGCTCAGCTCAGCATTTGACGCCCTTGACAAGCTGTTCCTCAGCCGCAGTCGAACTCCGCTTCCACCCGCCGCACCCAGCCCGACGGAAGCACCCCAGGGTGATCTTCCACACCTCTGCACACTGCTTCGCGCGCCTAGGGCCACTCCAGGCCCGCCTGCCTGCGCTCCCTCCTTTCGCTTTAAGGATTTTATCTTTAAGCAATCTCCACACCCAACGTGGGGCCTGAACTCACAACCCTGAGATCAAGAGTTGACTAACACGTTCTACCTGCTGAGCCAGCCGGGCCCCCCAACCCTTCCCCCTTCCTGACTGGCAACCTTTTACTCCAGCGCCAAGGTCTCAGTCCCACATCTCCTCCGGGAAGCCTTCCCAGTTTCCCGCCTGCCTGCGTGCCCGGAGGGCCCCTTCCCTGGGCTGCCGGGCGCCCTCACCTGCACGCGCACCTCCGGCAGGTGCACCTTGGCCGCCAGCTCCTCGCGGCTGTAAACGTCCGGGTAGTGGGAGGCCTCGAACGCCGTCTCCAGCTGGTGCAGCTGGTACGTGGTGAAGGTGGTGCGGTTCCTCCGGTGCTTCTTCTTGGGGGCGTCCTCGCCCGGGCCCGGCCCCCCGCCCTCCGCCGCGGGCCCCTCACCCGGGCTCAGGAACATGGCTTCTCACCCCCACCTGGCGGGAAGGGCAGGAGAGCAGCGGGTGAGGCAGCAGGTCCTGGGTTCTCCCTGCCCACCCCGCCCCTGTCCCTCCGGGACCGTCTCCCTCTCCCTCTCCCTGCGTCCCTGTCCCTCCTTCCCTCTCAAGCCTCTACCTCCACGTCTGCTTTGGTCTGTCTGTCCATCTCTCCTTGCGTCGAGGACCCCCAGGAAGGGAGGAGGCTGGGACGCTGCCCCCACAGTCCTCCATCCTGGGGGGCTCTCTGCACCCCAGCTCCCACTCTCAGCCCCCGGCCCAGCACTCACCACCCCCAGCAGCCCCTCGACGGCCCCAGGATCCACGCGGCCCCCGCCCCAGCGGGCCCAGCGTGTCTGCGGCTGGCCTGGCCCTGCCGGACCCGAGCGGGTTGGGGTCCGGAGAAGGGAAGATTAGTGCGAGGTGATTAATTGAGGCGGCCCCTCCCGCCCAGGCCCCGGCGGCTCTGAGCTGCAGAGGGAGGGTAAGGGGGGGCGGGGAGGAAGGCTGGGACTCCAGAGGGATGTGTGTGGGGGGAGGCCATCGGCCTGGGTCTGGCTCCCCTCACAGGGGGACACCAAGGGCCTCCCCCCTCTGGGCCTCAGTTTCCCTAGCTGTGGAAGAGTGACAGGACTGGCCTGGCGGCGGGGCCCTCGTGGGACAGTGAGCTGATGAAAGTAGGGAGCAGTGCACAGGGAATGGCATTCAGTAAGTGCTCAATGAATGTCCACTGTTAACTGCTTTCAGCAGCTGGGGCCAGAAAAAGGGCCTCTTAGATCCACGGATGTTGACGGGGGTGGGGAAGCTGAGGTTCTGAGAAGTGACAGCAGGGACGAGGGGCTTCTTCGCCAGGTTTGGAGGAACCTTACTGAGCACTTACAGCGTCCCAGGGACCGTTCACGGCGGCGAACAAAATAGACACACGTCTTGGAGCTGACGCCCTTGTAGGGGAGACAGACAGCCAGGAAATAGGATAGAGTGTCGGGTGCCTCAGCCTGGTGACACAAGTCGGGGGGGGGGGACAGAGGGTGGGAAGTAATCAAGTGGGCGGGGAAGTGGCTAAAATTCGGGACACAAGTGTGTGTGGAGGAGAGGGTACCAGGGAGCCATGGGAGTTTGTGGAGCCGGGGAGGGACGTAATCAGATGGCATTTTGGGCGAATATCTCTAGGGGGCAGGAGGGGAGGCCTGGTCAGGCTGCGGGGATGGCAGTTGGGGGGGAGCACTCCTGGGGGAGAAGGTCCGGGGAAGAGGGAGGAGCCGGTGACCCCCTGGGCCCAGTTTGGGGGACGGGTAGATGACAAGACTGTCCCAGAGGCAGTGGTCCAAGAGCCAGAGCAGGTTCAAGGGCAGAGACCCTGAAGCTGGTTTGCCCGCTCCCCACCCAAGGAGCTTGGGGCCGGAGAGGAGGGGAGACTGAGCCTGGCGGGGGGCGGTGAGGCCACGGCAGACGGGAGGCCCAGGCCCGAGCGCCCGAGAGGTGGGTGAGCCCGGGCCGCGGGGGTGGGGGGTGCTTCCCGAGGCCCGCTGGGGCCCGGGGCTCTGGGGAGGGGGGCACGAGGGGGGTCCCTAATGCCCTAATTGCTTCATCACTAACGAGCGGCTCTGGTCTCAGGCCCCAATTAGCTAATTGGCCCCAGGTGGGTTAAGAGGCTGCCGGGGGATCGGGACGGGGATCGGGACTCGGGCGCAGGGGGCTTAGCGGCTGGGGCTGGAGGTGCAGACGCTGTGTCAGCTTAGAGAACCTTAGAGAACCGGATTAGGGGCGGGGAGGGGCGGGGCCGGGCGTCCCCTCCAGCTGGCTTAGGTGGGGGTCAGGCCACTGTCAGCCCCACCAGCCTCCCGCCCCTCATTTCTCCCCCAGGAAGAATCCCTTGGCCCCTTCAGGTGCCCGTGGGGAAAATGAGGCCGGAGAGTGGGTGGGGCTTCAGGGGGGCACTGAAGGAGGTCACTGTGACCTTGGGGAAGTCCCTGGGTCAGCCCATGCTCAAGCTGGGGGGGTGGGGCAGAGGGGAGGGTCAGCCAAAGTGGGAGGCTGTGCTGTGGTCTGGTGTCCCCTCCCCGCTCTGAGGGGTCCTGGGGTGACGGCCACCCCAGCCTGGCCGGAGACCCCTCCAGGCGCCCTGGAAGCTGGCAGGAAACATCAGCGAGAAGGGATGACTGACAGTCCCGGTAGCCACTGGGCCCCGCTGTGCGCGCGGAGCCTTCCCTGGTGTGAGTCTTCGGGTCGCCCCCGCCCCCGCCGCCGAAAAGCCGATCCTAGAGGAGGCTGCTGGGGCCCAGGCGGGGGGACGAACCCCTGTTTGCCCAGATGCCCCAGCCTAGGCACGAATGTCCCCCCCACCCTGGAAATGTTCTCAGTTTGAGACGCTTTGTCGTGGCAGATCAGGGCCACGCAGCCGGGGGGTGGGGGTCAGGCTCAGAACTTGGGGGTGCGAGCCCAGAGCCCCAGCCCCTGCAGTCCGCAGTCAAGCTCCTCTGGACTCACGGGTCAGGCTGGTAGCTGGACCAGAGCCCTCCCTGCCCCTGCCCCTGCTCCCCACCCCCCCGCCATGGGCCACCACCGTGGCAGGCCCTCCCCGGGCTCCCGTGTGCCTGCCCTGAGGGGCACGGGCTGGCACAGGGGAGGCAGACGTGGAACGTGGCCTCCGTGGCCATGGGCAGCCTCCCGAGGTCCTGTGAGACTGGGACCCCACGGGCAGCCATGGGGACACCACAGTGGGGACCACGGGTGGGAACAAGCGTGCCCACGGGGTGGCTGTGATGCCTGGGGGCTCTCCTGACTCCATCCCTGGGGACTTGTGTCCCCAACGGTGGCCGCGGGGGCCCAGCTGGGGAGGCCCCTCAGTGGGCAGACTGCCGGCAGGCAGATGGCCCTGGGCTGAGTGTCGGGGGTGCCCCGGCGCTACCCCCTGGGGCGAAGGGCACCAGTGGCCACAGAGAGACTCAGACACCCTCAGTCCTTGGAATCAGTCTTTATGGAAGCGCTAATCCCTCGCCTCCCCGGGTCCGTGGTGTCAGCAGGCTGCCCGGAGCCCCCCACCTGGGCCACCTGGGCAGCGCGCTGGCCTTGACCCTCCTCGGGCCTGGCCTGTCCCCCCCACCCTGCACCCTCCACTCTGTCCTCTGGGGCCCGAGGCCCCACCAGGCAGGGTCAGGGCTCCTGGCCTCGGGGCGAGGAGGAAGTGTCTGTGTCCTGGGCCCCTGCGGGGGCCAGGGTCCCCACGCTGCGCAGCTCGCGGCCCAGCTTCTCCGCCAGCTTCCGGAAGGGCGGCCGGCGGGCGGGCTCAGCCTCCCAGCAGCTGCCCATGAGGGCGTGGATGGGACCCGGGCAGCCTTCGGGGGGCTCCATGCGGTACCCCTTCTCCACGGCCTCTGACACTTCCTTCAGCGACTGCGGGCAGAGGGCACGCCAGCACGGCTGGGGTCAGAGCCATGGTGCCCAGACCCGCAGGGGACCCGGCGCCTCCCCCCAGACCCCACTCACCATCTTGGGGTATGGAGCCCGGCCGTATGAGAAAACCTCCCAGAGAAGCACCCCGAAACTCCACACATCCGACTTGCTGGAGAACTTCTGTGGGGCCCAGAACTAGGGTGAGGAGGGAGCCCCAACAGCTTCTGCTCCAGCCCCTGCTTCCTCCAGGAAGTCCCCTGGGCTGACCTTCACTCTTTGGTCTCCTCCCGATAGACCGACCCCTCCAAGTCTTCCCCAACTGAGCGGAACTCAGACTCAGTGTGGGGAGGACCCTGGTTATTCTGGCCCTCGGCACTGAGCCCAAGGCTGTTTCAGAAATGGGGAAACTGAGGCCCAGATAGAGTCACAGAAGGAAGGGTCCCAGGGCAGAGGGGGGCTCACCCCGTGTTTGAGAGCCTCGGGCGCCGTCCACTTGACCGGCAGCCTGCTTGAGTCCAGCCCCTTCCGCTCGGCTTTAGCCAGGCCGAAGTCACTGACCTTGGCCACCAGGTCCTCAGAGATGAGGATGTTGCGGGCGGCAAGGTCTCTGTGCACCAGCTTCTTGCTCTCCAGATGCTCCATGCCCTCGGCCACGTGCCTGGGGGGGGGGGGGGCAGGGCACGGGGGCCGCAGGGCTGGGAGGATGCTCGGCGGCTGGACCGCAGACTCCCAAGGCCAGGCTCCTCCCACTTTGCGCCTCAGTCTTCCCTTGACCTTAGAAAGGACCCCCCCCCCGCTCCCCCCGGAGCCCCACTCACAAGGAAAACTGCAGGAGCTGGGGCGTGCTCACAAGGGCCCGGCCTCGCGTCCGTAGAAAGTTCACCAGGTTGCCCTGTGGGGAACGGAGATGGGCCTGGGGGCCTCGAGGCCGCTCCGCTGCTCCCCCAACCCTGGTCCCTCGTCCGGCCCCACCCCCACCTTGCTCACGTGCTCCATGACGATGTAGAGCCCCTGGTGCAGAATCACACCCAGCAGGCGCACCAGGTTCCTGTGCTGTATCTTCCTGGGGGCCAGCAGGCAGGCCGTGAGGGCGCGCCGGGGCCCCCTCCCCGCCTGCCCTCCCCCTGCCCCGGACTCACGTCATGACCGCCGTCTCGTCCAGGAAGGCCTGGGCCGTTACATCGCACTTGATGTTCTTCACGGCCACCTTCTGTCCCAGGTATTCGCCCTGCAGGACCGCTGGGGGGGGGGCGGGGGGGGACAGGCGGATGGAAACACCCACCACACCAGCCGCCGCACCCACCGGCGTGGCTGTGGGTCCCCGGGCCTGGAAGACCCCTCAGCCCTGCAGGCCGTTCGAGGTCAGCGGGTCTGCAGCTGCAGCCCGTGGGCCAAACCCAGTCGTCTGCTGCCTTTGCGAGGCCCACAGCGCTGGGAGCACGTTTGACATTTTTAAATGTTTGGGGGAAAAAAATCACAAGAAAGATACTACTTTGCAACAAACAAAAATGACGTGAAATGCACATCTCGGTGGCCGTCAATAAAGTTTTATTGGCACATGGCCACAGCCATTCCTTCACCTGCGGCAGCTTTACCGCTCCTAAGGCAGGGCTGAAGAGACGGACGCAGACTGGCCCCAAAACCCTAAAATACGTGCACTCAGGCCCTTTACAGAGAAGGCAGGCCAACCCCGGATCTAAGCCCCAGAGCCTTCCGGAGTCACAATCTCCAGGAATGGCGTTTCCAGCGCCGGGCCCGGAGGTGTGAAGGCGTCATGCCCGATCACCGTGATGTCAGCCCCCTCATGGAGGGAGACGCGGGCTCACAGCAAGCAGGTGTTAACACGGGTGTGGATTAATTCACTCCTCCCGAGTCCTAAACCTGGACCGGAACCCCCGCCCCTTGCTTCCTTCAGCCCCGGACCCAGGCCCCCACTTACCTCCAAACTCACCCTCTCCAATCCGCGCGCCCAGCGTCAGATGCTGCAGGTTCAGCAACCAGCCGGCTGTGGGGGTAGATACCCGGTGAGAAGGGAACCGGCTCCGCCTGGCGAGGGGCAGCGGGTGTCTCCCACAGCGCCCCAGCAGGGACACACATTCAGGTGGCCACCATGCCTAGCAGTGGCCCAAGGGCTTGTCCAAGACACCCACTCCCGGTCCTGGTTATCAAGTGCTGGAAAGTGACAGAGCCTGTCCATCTCGGGCCGACCTTGGGGAAGGAGCTTACTGGGGGGTAAGGGCCCAGCCTCCTCTCCAGGAAAGCGCCATCGAGCCCCAGGGGGCAGCACCGGGGCTGCCCTTCTCTCTTCTACTGTGTCCCTCCAAATACCCCAAGGACTCTTCCCTTTAGAGTCTTTTTACCTCGGGCTACCCAGGGACACACCACAAAAGATACAACAAACAGAGATGGTCAAAGCTTCTGGAATCTTCTCATAAAGGTTTGGGACTCTTCCAGAATCTTCCAGAATCTTCCAGCACTCTAAGTGGTCATCTGTGGTCCAACCTCCCTGACCCCTTGTCTCAAACCTGCCTGGGTTCCCCCTTCCTCTCTACTAGGTTCCAGAGGCCCCCTCCCCTTCCTCCCCAAATTCCCATTCCACGATCAAGCATGGTGACACCAGCCTCCCCTGGAGGCCATCCCCGAGGTGTCCAGATTTCCCTGGGACAGACATGCTTCCAAAGAGACAGACACAACTGTCAGGTTCAGAGGGGGTGGCCATGGGCGGGGTGGGGGTGGTGCATTGGCTTCGGACCTTGAGCATTGAGGGTTTCATTTCTAGGGCCTGGAACAGTACTTGGGAAGAGAACAGAAGGGGCAGCAGCACAGAGGCATAGGAGGAAACAAGGAGGGAGCTGGGGGACAAAGAGGAAGGGCCTTGTGGATGAGGCAGGGAAGACAGCTCAGCCACGAGGGAAGGTTCTAGAAGGCAGGGGAGCAATGTGGGTGGGTTTTCATGGTAGAAAGTCACCCCTGGGGGCACGGAGGCAGGGGTGTGGTGGGAGGACCTAAGGCTGGGGCTGGACGGCCAAGTGGGTGGCTTGAGGCTCAGGCCCACGTGACAAGGCGGGTGACGGAGAGAGGGAAGCAGCCGCAGGCGTGGGAATCCACCCCACGTGGGTTGGCGGGTGTCTGGGGCGCCCCTGCCCGCCCCAGGGCAGCCCCGGGTCTCCTGCAGGCCCAGCAACAGGCTTGTGGGGAGCGGCCTGGCAGCGGGCCGTGGGGGGGCAAGGGCAGGCCGTACCTTTGGCCAGCTCCTCCTCTGCCGACTTGGTGCCCTGCTTCCTCTTGGGTTTCACTAGCTTCGTGCAGATGGCGCCCTTGTCCTGGCTGTAGTGCTGTGGGGGTGGGGGTGGGGTGGGGGCAGGGCAGAGGCCGGTGAGCCCAGCCCCGGGCGGGGAAGCCCTGCGTTCTGTGCCCTGAACGGGGTGGGCAGGAGCTGGGGAGAAGGGGGGTTTGCTTCCCTCCAGAGGAGTTGGGCTGGTTTCCATGGAAACGGAAAGGATGCAGGCTAGGAAACAGGAGGAGCCGGGGGAAGGTGGGGCGGTGGTCTCCGGATCAGTGTCAACCTGGAGGTTCCCAGGGGTCCCTGGAGGGGCCACCCCAGTGCCCCCCAGAGGTGGATCCAGAGGACTCGGGCCACAGGTGGGCTTGGTGGTCCACGGAGGCCAGCCCCGCCTCCCACACCAGGGGGCTGGCAGCGAAGCCCCACCCCCACCCCCTGCCCCCCGCGTTGCCGTTGCCGGGCTGGGGCAGGGCCTGGGGTGACCGCGCGGCTCCGGGGGTCGCGGGCCTCGCGGCGGCCGCACCTCCACCATGTCCATGAGGTTGCAGAAGCAGACGGCCTCGTCGATGGTCAGGTGGCCGTCACGATGCAGCACCCGGTAGTGGATGACGTCGCGGCCGAAGCTGACGCATAGCACGTAGTCGCCCGGATGCCGCGCGGACTCGCGCACGAGGAACAGCCCGTCCTCCGGCGGCTGCAGCTGCTGCACGGCCTCCTGGCCCGAGATCTTCCCGTGGAACCACCTGCAGCCGCCGGAGGACGCGCTGGACCAGGCGCCCGGGGCCCCCGCCCCCCGCCCCGGGCGCCCCCGCGACTCACGGCATGAGGCTGAGCTTGGGGTCCGCCGACAGCGCCTCCCGCTCGCGCAGCGCCGCCGCCGCCAGCAGCCCCTCCTGCCCGCTGGCGTGGTGCTTGGCCCGGTACCAGCTCTTGCTCTGCGGGAGGGACCCCGTGTCTGTGTGTCGTGGGGGGGGGGGTGTCCTGGCAGAGACACACCTCCCCAAGCACCCTCGGGGCCCCAGGCTCCCACTCACCTCACAGGCCTCCAGGATGGTGACAACGTCGCCCTTGTGGAAGGCCAGCTCTCCCGGCTTGGGGCGCGTGTGCTCACACTTGGTGATGCATTGGGTGCCTGGGGCCCAGCGCCTCTGGGGGGGAGGGGCAGAGGGGCATGAGAGAGATGCCCGGGGAGAGGAAGAAATGGAAACTGGGCAAAAGACAGCAAGGCAGAGGCAAAAAGAACACAAAAGAAAGCGGGAGCAGCCAGGACAGAAGTATCTGCTTCTGCGAAAGCAGATTGGGAAGAAAAGGTGACAGAAACGCAGCACCGGCTAAAGGGGACACGGTCAGAATGCAGCCCCCTGACTGGTGCTGGGGCCCTGTGGGTGTGGACTGAGCAGGGGACGGCGGAGACATGGGCACCCGGGGTGGCGGTACTCACTGTTGGCATCCTGGCTGAGATGAACGTGGGGCGCCAGGCACGGAGGAAGCGGGGGCTCACCTGGGTGAGGGGCAGAGACCAGCTGGAGAGCCAGGCCGGGGCCATGACTGACTGACCACTTCCAGCCTTGGCCAGGTGGAGGTGACAGCCGAGGGCATCCCCACGGGGGGGGGGGTCCCTGGCGATGGGTCCCTAAGCCCCTCTGGGGAGGTGGTCTTTATCCACAGGAGTTCTTATAGTGAGGCAGCCGTGAAACATCGGCGAGGAAACCACAGGCTCTACGCTCGCCATGGTCCCAAAAGGGAAACGGAGGCACGGGGTGGGCACAGAGCAAGTAGCCATATGGTGGGGAGGGGGGAAGCGCCTGGCTCAGCCCCCAGCAGTCACACAGTGGGTGGGGAACGTGGTGTCACCTAACCGAGCTCGGTTCTTCCTCTTTTCTGGTAAGTGGGCAGGGGCAGGGCAAGGAAACAGAGGATGATTCAAGGTCATTCCCAACTCCCTCTGACCCTGGGGTGGGGCAGGGACGTGGGGGGGGGAGGGGGCGTGCAGCGCTGCTGGGCTCCTCTGGCCATCAGCTGAGCCTCTCTGATTCCCCCCCCAATCCCAACACCAAGCTAGGACAGGCACACAGTCTCCTGCTGCTGCTGGGGTAGGGGCTTTTTGGCCCCTTTTCTCTGCCGTGGACCCCACAGCAGGTGACTGGGCAGTGGGCACGGCTGGGAGATGAGCCTCTGCCCCTCCAATGTTGCCCCCCATATATCCCCCGCCCCCTGTGTACTCACACGCATACTGATCCATGTACACACGAGCACACACAGAAATACATGGGGCTCGGACACAGGTGGACACAGGTACCCACGGGCACGCGGGTATGCAAGCAAAGGCACGTTCACCTAGAGACAGGTGTGCACACGTCTACACATGTGGACACACGAACAGACACTCGGACATCCAGAAATGTGTGTACCTGTCTCCCCCAACACACACACAGAGACCCACACTTGAACACCTGGGCGCCAGACGCTGGGCCAGTGGGGCACCCGGAGCTTCACGAGCTACAGCAGGGCCGCGCACACGCATCTCGGCCACACGCGAACACCCCTCCACGTGGACGCGCGGATATACACACCCGGGAGCCTGCAGACGCGTACACCCGCACCCAGAAAAATACCCCCCACCCTGCGCCCGATCGCCTCTAACCACCCGCTACCCCAGCCGCGTACCGGCCGCGCACGCCGGACGCGCACACTCGCGCTCCCACCGGCTGCTCCAACGCACGCCCGGGACGTCGCCGGGGCCCTCGGGGTCCCCCCTCCACCGCCACTGCCTCAAGGTCTCTCCCCTTACCCCCGCCACCGGGCTCACCTGCTCAGGGGGCGCCCCCGGGCCGCGCCCCGCGCCCGCACCCAGGAGGGCCCCCGAGCGCTGGCTGGGCACCCCAAGGCAGCCCTGGCTGCACAACTTGGAACAAGTTGCTCCGTTTCCTCATTTTGTGGGGGGAGGGGGGCTGGGGGGAGCGGGGGAGCGGGAGGCGCCGCGGCCCGGGAGGCCCCCGCAGGTCCTAGCGCCGGCCGCACTGCGGTCTGCTCCGCGCGCCGCCGCCGCCGCCGCCGCCGCCGCCGCCGGCAGCCCCTCCCCGCCCCGCCCCTGAGGCCCCCCCGGCGCCTCCCGCTCCGTCCGGGCGGGGGCCCGGGGCGCTCGCCTGCTCCACGCCGCGCCCCGGTACGGGGTCTCAGGCGCGCACCTCGCCCACCCAGGGAAACAGAGGCCTCCGAGAGCGGGTGCCGCGCGCGGGGCGGGGGAGTGGGGGGGGGGGCGATCGGGGAGAGTGAGCTGCCCGTTTGGGGAGATAAGCAAGCCGCAGCGCCCAGACTGTGCGTCTGGACCCTTCTAACTCCGCGATTCCAACGCCCTCACTCACCTCTGCCTGAAGGATTCTTGGTGCGGGGCGCAAAGTGCTCAGAAAGGTCAATGGTTATCAGTATTATAATGATCATCATCGATATTAGGGGGAAACCTGGGCCACAGGAAAAAACAATCACGAGGAACGGGAGGCCTCCTGGTGGAGGGAACGGTGAGCCTGCCTCCCCCCACTCCCGCCAAGCTGGCTGCGCCTGGGCTTCCTTCTCTGTAGGTCCCTCTGAACCACCCGCTTCGACCTCAGAAAACGGTTTGACTGGCATTTGATGGGCGCGCACTGGGTGTGGGCCCGGGGCCCAGCCACTGGCCGGCCTCTGATGGATGAATCTGCCTGGCAGGACAGAGCTGTTAGGAGGGTGGGGAGCCAGGGTGCCCGGGGAGCCTGAGTCCTGTATTCAATCTTCCGTCACCCCAAAGGCTTCTTGGAATAGAGGCCGACTTGCAGAATTAAAAAACATTCTTTTGTGGACTATTACGGAACAACAACTAGGAAATTCTATGTATTAAGGTCCTAGAATCAACAGTTGTTGAAAACTGCCAGCCAGCACCAAGATGTGACAAGATACAAATGGAACCATCCTTTGATGTTACACAGGACGGAAGAGGTCCAAGGGGAAAGTTCCAGAAGGGGACCCTCCAACCGGCAACAGGTTATCCCCAGGGAGGGCAGTGGGCGGGAGGAGAGGGAGGGAGCAGACCTCTTCCCTTCCAGGGGGCTGTTTGCAGGTGGTAGTGTTTGCAGGGAGCATTCCCCGCTAAGCAGCAGGGGTCCCCAAATCGGATCATGCTGTGGGACAGCCCCAGTGTGGCCCCACCTCCCCGCCATAGGCGCTGCTCTGGACCCAGGGCTGGAGACCCTGCAGCCAGCATTCAGTTGGGTCCTGGGGCCGCCATATATGGCAAACCATCATCATTTGCCTGAAATAGAAACACATCAAAATAGCCACAGGAAGCCCAGTAGCACCATTAGATGCAGACCAGAGACTGCGCCCAAGGCCCTCAGGGAGACTTTTTCCTCCATTCAGTTGAGAGGTGGGAAGCGAGTTGGAAGGGGCTGGCTCGCTCCCTCTGTGACAATACTTAGTGTCTGGGTAATGCCTCCATCTTCCCCAGGACCCCAGGGATCCTTGTCCCAACTCTGGACGTGATCGGAGGAGCCAAAGGTGGAGAGGGACAGACTTAGGTAGACAGTGCTGGGTTCTCAAATCTCCAAGGGCTGCCTGGGGTGCAGCCCCCCCCCCCCGCCCCAGCATATGGGCTCGGGGCATTGAGCTGCACCTGACTCTAGGGAGACGGGTTTTGAGTCCAGGGTTTATTTGGGTCAGAGCTATAGGTGAGGTCAAGTCCTCAACCCCATTCAAAGACATTCAAGAGTTGGCCATGTGGAGGGCGCCTGGGTGGCTCAGTCGGTTGAGCGTCTGACTTCGGCTCAGGTCATGGTCTTGCGGCTCGTGGGTTTGAGGCCTGCGTCGGGCTCTGTGCTGAATGCTTGCTCAGAGCCTGGAGCCTGTTTGGGATTCTGTGTCTCCCTCTCTCTGCCCCTCCCCTGCTCAGGCACTGCCTTACTCTGTCTCTCAAAAATAAACAAATGTAAAAAAAAAAAAAAAGAGTTGGCCACTTGGAAGCTCAAAGACTAGATGGGTCTTTCGGTCCCCAGGAGTGGCATTGCCAATATCGCCTCCTCCTGCCAGGAGCTGGGGTGAACTTGCCCCTTCCTTCCACCAGCCTGAAGCCAGCTGGACCCCAGAATCACCCAGTCCCGGGCTCCTCACTGTCCAGATTTCAGTCCTGTGGAGCCTGATTCCAGAAATTCTCTGATGCGCCAGACCACCTGGCCTCATACCGGCTGGAGGCTCAGAAGCCCCTCCCTGGCTTCGCAGCTGCCCCCAGTTTCCCTCTTTGCTGCCACCATTCACCTTCCACTGCATGGCTAAGGATGAAAATGTGACTGTGGCCCTCCCCCCACACTAAATCTTTCCATAGCTCCCCATTGCCTAAAACGCTCCGTACGGCATTCAGAGCTCTTCACGTTCAGCTCCCAGCGGACTTCCCTGGCCTCGTCTCTGGCTCCCACAAAGCACCCAACAGTCTAGCACCTCCTTGAGCCTGGAATGTCCTTCCCCTTTGTCCCGTCGGCATCTCTAGCTCACGCCTATCTCAATTAGCACCATTTTTATGAAGCCGTCTAGGATGCACCCACCATAGAAGCAAGACTTCTATGCCCCGAAAAGACCCCTCGCTGGAGGCACTAGCTTCTTGTCTCGCCGAGTGATGGGTGTGGACCTGGCCTTGGTGACTGAGCCTGTGAGCCTGCCTGGGAAGGAGGCCAGTGCAGAGAAAGCAGAGACTGAATCCTGAAGAAGGAATTCAAATCCTCAGATCCAGCCATGTCTCGAGTTCGCGCTATGACGAGTCTTGGAAGCCACTCTTTGCTTTTTTTTGGTTGCTCCTGAAGGTTTCTGCCACTTGCGAGCAAAAGGATTCCTGATGCTGAAAATGGGGCAGGAAGGAATATCCATGCGTGGAATTGGCGAGTCTGATTAGATGGCCTTGAACCCAGCTTGGAAGTGTGATCTCTGGGGCGCCCCTTTCCAAGATCCAATAAATCTTCCATCCATCCACTGGGTCAGGTGGTGCTATCTTCGGTCAGAGGAACCCTGAGGACGCACCCCCTTTCCCTCCCTTCTTTGTTTATTCAAATCTCCCCGTTCTTCATGTCCTACCTTTCTCCTACGTGGGCTGTTGCGATTTGCATAAGCCCCTGTTCTCCAAACTCCTGGAGACTTGGGGTCCAATCCTGAGTCCCAGAGAGGCAAAGCTACTAGTCTGTGGCCACACAGCTGGCTGGGGCTGGAGGTCAGGCCTGCGGACTCACTCAGTGGGGTTGTAAACTTCTCAAAGGCACGGCACATTTCTTACTCTTCTTTACTAATATGGATGAAAATCGACGTAGGCAATGAACAAGGGGAGTCATGTGACGTGCACTTTTATGCAAGGCATCAGTTAGAATTAGGCTTGGCTATATCAGATGGCGGACCCTGAGTGCTAGAGGCTTGACTTAGATAGAAACTAATCTCTGAGGAATGTGCTCCTGGGCAATGTCAGGAACCGAGGCTCCTGCCATCTCATTGCTCTGCCTTTCTCCGTACATGAACCGTTACCTCTTGAGCTAATATGGTTGCTGAAGCTCCAGCCCTCCCATGTGCAATCCAGCCGACAGGAAGCGGGAAGTTGGCAGAGAAAAGTACACCCCTTCCCTTGAAGGGGTCTTCCTGGAAGATGCACGTGACATCTTTGCTCTATTCCATTGGGTGGAGCTTAGCCATGTGGCCAAATGTAGTAGCAGGGGAAGCTGGGAAACATAAGTCTTTACAGCAGGGGCCAAGGATGCTTCCTCAAAGTGCCCAGGCATGTTCTCACTTCAGAGCCTTTGCATTAGTTGTGCCTCCTGCCTGGGATACTTCCTCAGACATACCCATCATTCCAGCACCTACAGAATATTTCAGTCGGCTGACACTTAACACCCCCTCTGCTTATAGCTCTATGGAGCTACCATGGTCTAACTGACCGTATATCTTACTTGTTTTGTTGCTGGCGGTGGCGGTGGTATTTACTGGCTGCATCCTCTCTAGAACATCAGCTCCCCAAAGACAGGGATTTCAGACAGTGTCATTCACTGCTGTGGCCCCTATACCTGGCACACAGGAGGGGCTCAGAACATATTTTTTAAGCCAGTGAATACTGGGAAGGGAGAGGTACTGAGCAGTGACTGACACCAGTGAGCTGAGCGCTTTCATTGTAGCCATTTCACAGATGAGATAGCCAAGGCCCAGTCGGTTCCTGGGCTTGCCCCAGGACACAGAAAGTGGTGGGCTGCACTTTCAACCTTGATCTATCAGGCTCCAGGGCCCACAGGCCAGCTGCAGGGCAAGGTGTTGGGCACATGATGGACCCCTAAAGAGTTTTCCAGATGGAAGGTCTGAAACAGGCTGAGGCAGGACAGCATCAGCCAGATGTGGGAACAGCTGAGCAGCCCGGGGGTCCCCAAGGATCCTCCGCTGGAGCAGCGGGCCAGATCAGACTGCCCCAATTAGCACACCTTTAAATTTAGCTTTCTCCTCCCTGCCAGGGGACTTGGGGATTCAGTGGAGGAACACTCCGCTCTTTCGAGGAAAGTTGCTGCATTGCTCATTCTGCAACTGGACACGTGGTCTGATGGGCCATTCTCCACTCACCGAATGGCTTCTCAAAGCGACTGCTTTGGGGCACCAGGAGGGACGTGCCTTTGATGGGAGAACCTGTTTGCTTCCCTCCCCCACATCCCTCACCTTGTTTTTCTTGTTCTATAGGTGGAGCTGAGACTGCTTGTAGGTTCAACACATGTCAACTGGGTCCGTATCATTTCTTGGCTTAAAATCTTTGCATGGCTCGGGGCGCCTGGGTGGCTTAGTCGGTTAAGCGTCCGACTTTCGCTTAGGTCATGATCTCGCGGTTCGTGGGTTCGAGCCCCGCGTCGGGCTCTGTGCTGACTGCCAGCTCAGAGCCTGGAGCC